AAGTACAGTTATCTGATCATGGAATGAAAGCTGTGCTGGACGGGAAAAAATGCTTTTTGTAAAGGACATTATTAGACCAACTGACAAAATTGGGAAATGGACGAGAGACTTGATAAAAGCACCGTACCTGTGTCAGTTTATTGACATCGACAACTGTGCTGTGGTTATATAATATCCCTAGTCTTAGGAAACATTCACTGATGTTTATAGGATTAAATGGCAATGATATTTGCAACTTAGTCTCGAGTAGTCCAGGAAAAACCTTTTAATTTTCAAATAAAAAGTTGCCCTGGCTGGTGCGGCTCAGTGAATTGAGCACCAGCCTGTGAACCAAAAGGCCACTGGTTTGATTCCCAGTCAGGGCACAAGCCTGGGTTGTGGGCCAGGTCCCCAGCTGGGGGCGGGGGGGGGGGCCGCCTGTGAGCGGCCACCAATCCATGTATCACTAGCACATCGATATTTCTCTCCCACTTTCTTGTGCCCCTCCATGCTCTCTAAAAATAAATAAAATCTTAAGAAAAAAGTTAATGGTAACCACACACACAAAAATAAAACTGAGACATATAACTTTAAAAAAGAGGAAACCATGGAATACCAGAAAACAAAAATGACAGGAACACAAAGGAAAAGAACCAATGGAGGTACAGAGCTACCACAAACAGGAGGTAAAACAGCTACAGGAAATTCTAATACATCAATAATTACCTTAAGTGTAAATGGACTGAATTCACCAATAAAAAGGCACAGAGCAGCAGACTGGATCAAAAAACAAAACCCAACCATATGCTTGCCTTCAGGAGACACAATCTAAGCTAAAAAGGCAAAGACAGACTTAAGGTAAAAGGGTGGAAAATGATTCTACAAGCAAACAGTATTCACAGAAAAGCAGGCATAGCCATACTTACATCTGATAAAATAGATTTTTAAGATGACAAATGTAACAAGAGAAAAAGACGGACATTTTATGATAAAGGGACACCACATAACACTAAAATATGTAAAGCAACTACTAATGGAACTAAGGGGGAGAAACTAACAAAAAAAACTTAAAACAATACCTGGAGACTTCTTCTGATTTAATTTAGAGATCAGACATTCTATTTTTTTAAAAGCCCCTCAAGATTGAGAACTGCCTAGAACAGCAGTACTCAAAGCAAGACCCTCACTTAGGAACTTGTTAAATATGCACAGGCCTACTGACTCTCAGACCCTGTGGGGGGTGGCCCAGGAGCTGTATTTTACCATACCCTCCATATGATTCTCATACCCACTTAAGTTGGAAGCCACTGACCTAGACTACAGTTCCTGCTTTCTGTATATGTAGCTCCTATATTCCCACAAAACCTAGCAAAATGCAGTGCATTATCATATCTCAATAAATGCTTGCTGAATTTAGTTTGGCAGAAATGACCACTGAGGCACTTGGAGATGATTACTCTAACAGTCCCAGCTAAAGCATCACTCACAGTTTCTAAAGTGAATATAAAATTTATTTCAAAAGCAATGAAGGAAATCAGATTACTCAGGAGAATAGTAAAAGCACTGTTGTCCCTAAAGGGAGCGTATCAGCTTACAATCTGTTAAGTCACTGTCAACTGAAAATATGTGATAACTTATGCAAGCTATTAGACTGGTATTTAAAAATTAATTCTGTGGTCCTGGGAAACAATGCACAGCAACTAAAAAACCATGCTGTGTGTGCCACGCAAGGTCTGCTTAGAAAACACAGCACTCATGTGGCAGTGATGTGGCCCAGATTTGATGAGGATGGCCAGATTTCAGAAGAACATCCTCTAGGTGGCATTTGGAGAAAAAAAGACTCCTGTAAAGAGAATGAACTGTCAATCTGCCTACTGAGTAGAAAATAAAACAAATCCATTTTTATGCAACTGTTTTCTATCTTGAGAAGCTGACTGTTGAAGATATTCTAGCATGGAGGGTATCATCCCATCCTCGCCCCATCTTTTCTAATTGGCATCCTGAGTGACTTCACAGGAAAAGGGTGTTACTTCAGTATTGTTGATTTAAAGGCTATCTAGTCACAGTGAGGCAAAGGAGAATTAATCTTCAAAATTCACCTATTTACTGAAAACCCATGGAGTGTCTTGGCAATTAACAATTCCTATCACCTCTAGCTGTTCCCTAAGTGAGAAGGCTCAGAACTCATCTTACAAATTGCTCTTCTGAAGATCAAAGGGAAGCTGAATGTGTCTGTGTGTGCTCTCCATGAGACTGTAATTTAATGGAATTTTTAGAAAAGGCTTGCTGGCAATGCTTGGATGACAGCCCCGGGGCAGAGGATTCAGGGGAGCTTGGCCACTTCCCTTTGGAGCATCTTCCCTGTCTTTAATTGGCACCTCATTAGAAATTAATGAAAATGACATCCTCTGTTCTTCCTGCTCTAGGCAAGTGAATGCTACAAAAAGGCCCATCACAATTCATAACACATTCAATTTATATAGCAATGGCTCTTAAGCATTATTTATGAGATGTGAATTTCTTGTCAGCAGTTAATAACCTGTACAGAGTGGAAGGGGAATGGAAAAAAAGATTGTGAATAAATATATATAAATTTTCTGCAGTGGAGAAGTGTGCTGTTTCAGTTCAAACTACCTTCCTGAGTCCTCACTTTCAGCAGTAAAGTACTGTTCCCCCACCCCTCTAAAACCTTTCGGGGCAGTTAAATGTCCTTCCAACACTATGCATACTCAAGGAAATAACTATACAGCTCACCCTTTCCTAGAGAGATCCAAGCAGACAGGCAGGAGGAACACAAGAGCTATTTGTCAAAGACAGTCCCAGAGGTGTCTATTCCCACTGCTGTCCTTCATCTTTTGAAATGTGGCAGTTGACTCAGTCATCCTTCTGGGCACAAAAGTGTAATGCTCTCAGTGGGCCGAATGGAACTCCCGGCTCTCTGGGAAGGCTATATCTGGAGGGACTGCAGAAAGCTCAAAACTTTCTTCTCCACCAGAAAAGTCCAATCTCTTTATAAGCATACCCTCAGAATTGGGCACAAGCCAAGGGACTGCACACTAGATCATTTAAAAGAATACACGTTTGTTGCAAACTAGTAAGTACTTAGAAATCCAGCCTCCTGCCCAAGAAGTGAAGAGCACAGGAGAGTAATCTGCACTTACCAGAGACAATCAAGTTGGTTCCATTTCCAAGCATATGAATTTATCCAACATGTATTTCTAGACTTTTTCCAGCAGTTTCCTAAGACCATAGGGAAGTAGATGGTGTGCATTAAAACTGAAGGGTTAACTGGGAGACTTGGTTACAACACTTCTGGACCTCTCAGCACTAAAATGAACTTTTAACTGCTTGCCTGACAAGGAGAGGAGGTACTAACCACTGCCAGAGGCAAGACAGCACACTCATGGACCAACTGCTTCGTCCACTAAAGCAAATCCTGAGTAATACCCAGGATTCAGTTACTTTCAAGAAGGAAACAAGAACATAAGGTACAGGCAAATCCCTTGGTTCTAATGTAGGAACAACCAAAGCCCTGTGTTATAAAGCAACAGGCAAAACCAGACTGAACTGTGGAAACCCCCCAATAGTTCACATGAAGACCAAAGCAAGAATGTGCACCACCAAAGATTAAGCTCTGCATTATGGGTAAAGGTGGGTCAGCCATTAGGCCCCAGAGTTTCCTTAGCTAACCATGGTATTCCTTCCTTACCTCACCTAGAACTGAAAAGTATCTGGCAGAGCTGATCCAGGAGCAGCCTACGAATAACATTCTGGCCTCACCCAAGCCATGCCACATGCATGAACCCAACTGAAGTTGGAAAGCTCTGCTGACAGGCTCTGCACTTATCTCCCTTCTTTGTACCTGCACGTACGCATTTAGGAGGAAACTAAATGCCAGGCTAAAAAATAAAACCTTGTCCAGTGACACCTAGACTCCCCATGCTGGTCCACATTCCTGCAATTTAGGATATGCTTCTAATCTTCTCAAGACCACACACCCAAGCATGTAACAGGAGTTCCAACTTAGTTTCCTGAGAAGCTGGTACTCTCTCATTTCCTTCTCATTTCTAACAGGGCAGATGACTGAGGGACAAGGGCAGCAATGGCTATGTCTTCAGAAGATAAAGGACTTGGGGTAACTGTGACTTTCTAACTGCTGAGAGAACCAGCTAGTCCTGACCTCCATCATCGGTGCTTGTAGGGTATCTATTGCTGTCCCAGGGGTGAAAGGAAGCTTCTTAAGCTCACTCTTAAGGACTAAGGGTATAGATTCTCAGAGACTAGACCTGGGCCTCAAAGTCTGCCTGGTGACAGTTTTGTCCCATAGAATTATGCTTTAAATCAGGAAATAAGAAGAGGAACAGGAAAATTCAAAGTTGGCCTAAATGATGCAGCTATGCAATTCTGAGTGGCTGAAGGGAGAGGAAGAATTGGTCTCCACTTTGTTCCACGGTGGGTGTGCATGAAGTGCAGCAGTTCTAAGAGGTGGTATTATTACAGTGGAGAGGTAATACAGAAGGGGTTACTTTAAAGCTGTTTTCAAGAGGTTAACTGCCAATGAATTACGGTTCAAAGAAAATAATTTTCTAATCTAACTTTAATTTAGAAAGGATATGGGAGGAGAAATCTTCCATTTATTATACATAGTAAGAGGCTCGTTCAAAATTAATTTAATATCTGAATTTTACAGTACATATCCCAGAATTTTGCTAGTTTGGTTAATTTCTAAATAAGTCATCAATGAGAAGGAACCGGAGAAATCAGTGGAAAGAAGCTGAAAGCAGTATGCGGTGACAATGTAAATTCGAAGAAACGTGTGACAAGGAAGTGGGCATGTTTTTGCTTCTTTGAATGTGTTTAGAAATAAAAATCCTTACTCCTGATTTCTCAAACTCTAAATCTATTGCTCTCAGGGAGGTTCACAGGAGAACAAAGGAGGTCAGCCTCTTAGAATACTTTCCAAAACTATGTCACAGTGTCAAGGACAAAATCTCCATCATGTCACTGGGGGAGATGCTTACCACAGCGACATGATCCCAATTCCTGCTGCACCAGCTCCAGCTTGGTTTGGCACTGGAAGCACCGACGTCGACTCTTCTGTTTAGATCGGCTGGTTTCTTCAGATCGTTCAGTATTCTCCAGTAGTCGTGGCCGCTTCACTGGTGAAGCCTCATTCTCAGACTGTGAATCTGACCAAAACAACACATTTGGGGATTAGGGTTAGTGCTTGGCCTGGTAAGTACAGCTGATTACTGTACTGCCAGGCATACTTCTGACCAGGCTCCTGTCCTTTCCCAGGAATTACACCTGTGTGAGCAACAGCCAGCTGACTGGCCTCGTTTATTCTCTACAAATTGTGACAAGCATGAACCTTCAGGGCTGACTTCTAACAAGATAGGTCTGAACCAGGAGAGGAGGGTGGGGTTGGTTCGACAAAAATCTACATTGCTTTAAAAATAGCTGTCTCTATGAGGAGACCATTCAAACTGGAAATGGGATCATCTCTTCGCACCCCTTCTTTGGGCAGTAGCTATTTACTACTTGTATTGGTTATCTACCTTTCCTTGAATATTTGCTTGTCCTCAAGTAGAATGTAATTCTTTAGAGATGGGACTGTGTCTAGCACTTCTTTATACTGCCATGTTCGGCACAATTCCATACTTAAGCCAGCATTTGAAGAAACATGAGCAAAAATACTCATGTTCTACTCCTAAACAGATAAGAATCAGGTCTAATATTGGAAATAATTGCAACTGTATTCAGAGTTAAGGAATACCCCTGCTTGTTTACCAGTGAGCTGCCCCAGGACTCCGTTGTGGAGCGGTACAGAGGCAACACTTTGTACCAGAACCCTAGGGTTGGTGCCAAAAAAGTTCATACTGTAATAGGGAGGCTGTGAATAACTCCTTCTGAAAAAGGACAGCAGCTGAGGGCTCTGTAGACCTCTGCTCCCACTGCAAACTGAGGATGCACCTCTTGCCAAGGTCCCAAAGTGGTTTATGCTAAACCACCTCAGGAATCTCCTAGACTACCTTCTTCAAAACAGATCCAGATCCTACCACGTCTCACCCCTCCACCACCACCAGCGCTGGTCCACATCATCATCATCTCATCATCCATCCTAGAACAAAGACCCTGAATGATGTACCCTCCTGTCACCTCTCCCGCTTCATCTCCTACCGCCCTCTCCCTCTGCTCCATTCACACTGTGGGCCTTCGTGCCTTCTGTTCCCTTTGTCTCTAAGCCTTCACTCAGATCTCCATGGGATCTAACCTTCTTTAAGTCACATTTTCCTTCTTTTAATTTAGTTTTAAGTTGCACTTGACATACAATACTGCATTAGTTTTGGGTGTAGAACAGAGTTATTAGACATTTTATATAACTTACAAAGTGACCACTGCTCTCAGTGAAGTCTTCTTCCCCATCACCCTATGTAGACCACTCTTGTCACCTCTAGCATTTCCTTTACTCCCTTTACTTGCCTTTTATTCCTCCACAGCATTTATCTTTTAACATTACCCCCCAGGAATGTAAATTCCTGGAGGGCAGGAAGTTTGACCTGCTTTGTTCAATAATGTGCCCTCTATGCCTACAATTCAATATATAGTTCTTGAACAACTGAATCTTCTCTTAGGCAGTCCTGATTTTCTATTTAAAGTGGATCTAGTGAAAAGCAGCAGATGGTTGGCTGCATTTCAATGGAGCCTGTCTCCTTTACCCCAGGCTCCCTCTGTGTGAAAAAGATGCTGCACTTCATCAGACAGCACTCACTGGTCCCCACAGTGAGGATGGTGAGCATTTGCTCACAGCTCCCCCAGCCCAAGGAACTGTGCACTGACTCATGGAAGACACACACTATTCTTAGCAACTGTAGATTTCATTTTTTTTCTCATTTAGTTCTTCCCATCCTATATGACCACATGACATTGTCCCCAAATATAAACCAACTAAACAAGGCCTTTGATGAAAACAACTGAAAGCAAGTTCAGCCTATTTCCCACCTCTGCTGTGAGAAGCTGTCCAAACCTAGTCAGTGTGATGACTGAGACAGCCACAGACACACCAGGTCCCCTCTCCTTCCCCTACAAGAGTAACAAGCAACAATCTAAATGTAAATCATTACAGAGCAGCTAGCCAAAAGGATTTCACCTTGTATGAGCCACACTGCCTTCTGGGAGTCCTTTTTCACAAATCAGCAATGGCACTATTTACATTAATAACCCTATTTAGACATGCCCCCCCGCCCTTTTTTTTTTTTTTTGCAGTGAGAAAATTCTAGAGCAAAAGCTGCACAAAGAAAAATGGTATCTGTTCTGAGACAAGGTCCTAAATCTGGAGTATCCTTATAAGAAATTATCCATCAACCTCAGGAGGCAGAGTTGAGAAGAGAGAGAAAGGTCCACATAAGAAGGGGAGACAGTTGAATCCTTTGAGTTTATTAATATTCTTAACATCTGGAGGACCTTAAGATGAGGACAACACACCTCTAATGAAAAAGAGGTACACTCAGCCCATAAGCCTTTCATTCACACCGCTATCTGACAAAATCGAGTGTGTGTCTGGAAATGCAGAGCTCACAAAGCTGTTTTTCACATGAATCTGTCTCAGATTGTCAAATGTGCTGTCTACCTGCATAGCACCCATCTCCATTTCTAAAGCAACTCTTTGCTACAAGAAGACAATTTTCTTGCAGTGTGGCAATGCTATCCACAGCTGTTTTAAAATAAGTCAAAAATGATGTATAAAAAATTTTTAAATGTTTGATTCCTAAATTGGGGACAGAATTCATATTCATATAATCATAATCGTCACTGGTCATCACCAAACAACCCACTTGATGGGGCTCCCTGAAATAAAGAGGCCTTCCCAGCCCTTTTCTCTTTTCTTCTAATTCTCCACCTTCTCTGACCAATGAGCATTCAATAACAAAACTACGGAATAAGTCTGCTTGGTCTCAAGCTAAAATTTTCCTTTACCCATTCCGCATTATAGATAAAGACTACTGAGTTTTTGTTCTGGTAGGCAGGAGGCATGGGGCATTCCTGAAATAATGGGTCCCAAGGGAAGCTTCTGATGCTGCCAACAGCTTCTGGCTGCACTGGAGTGGCCATCCTAAAAGAACACCACCCAGCCCCAGTTGGCCCTTGAGAGTCAATGTCTGGGCATCTGCACAAGTCTAAGACCAAAGGCATCAGTATACAGAAAGTCTGAGCCAAGAGAAGCAGCCCTTCAATGATCCTAAATCAAGAGGCACACCCTGTTTACCAGAATGTGTTATTTTTTAGAATCAAGAAAATTTCCCTAGACATTAAGTGATTCATAGTTTTTTGCATGCTAAAATATGTCCACTTAACCTTCTTCACTCAGTCCATGGTCTATTCAATGGAAAGGAATCCTATACCCTCTAATGCCCCTCCCACAAAAAGGGAAGGGAAATAAGCTCTCTAAACTGTTTACCACCCTCTACACACTGCCACCCAGGGAGGTGACTGTTCTATATAATTTCTTGGTGAAACAAACTATTCCTTGGCATTTTCTCACAAGCCAACTTACTGTTTTAATTAGAAGCTAATAAAATAAACAGCAGTCTACAGGATCATCATCATCATGTCTGTAAAGGAAATTTACATCTTCTCTGCTAATTATTTAATGAAACTTTATGCCAGGGGTGAGTTGCCTAAATAAGAGAAACAGATGTCCAGGGCAGGGATTCTAATTACATAATAATGAACTAAATAATTCAACTATTCAATTATAAATTTATGTCAATTTAAAAAAGACTACTAGAAAGAAAAGATCCAAACATGGTCAAACTAAATGAGTTCTTGTCTGCAGTCCATATCCGAAGAAATTAAACTTTGATTCTTTATTTTTATTCACAAACATCATTTTGATTACCCTGCAGCACTCTGAACTTGCTCAGCAATGACAGAAAATACCTAACAGTCTACTTGCACAATCAGAACTTGGGCAGTAAGGGTTAAACTACCGAGAGAAAGGTGAACAGAAATAACTCTTATATGCAGCTTTAACTGTCAAAAGAAACGAGTCCTTACAAGGAGCATGCTTATTAGCAGCAGGAGGAGCTGTACTGGCAAGCTAAAAACTGTTCCCACCCCAGGAGTTAAGGGTGCTTTCTAATTAAGGTCGTTCATAAAGGGCCAACAGAGCACATATTTTTTCCAGTATGCTTTTTCTTGAGAACATAATCTAGTCTGTATGTACCCACACAAGACACCCTTCCTTTCTCTGTCTAAATTTAACAGAATGAAAAAATATCACATCAGGTCCTCTAGTCTGATCAAGAATTATAATGTGATTAAACTAGAAATAAAAATCTTAGAAAAAATATTTTACAGATCAGTTTCCTAGGTTTGAAGGCAACTAGTGCTTAATTTGTGACAGAGAAACAAGTACAGTGATTTTAAAACATACAAATTTCTGAAGAGAAATTCTTCTCATTGTACTTTCCTAGCCAATTGCAAAAAGTAGTGGTAAGACCTTCAATTTAGAAACACAGTTTAACTGGAAAGCTTGACTGGAGACAACAAACACAACTACTTCTCTTAAAATTCTGTTTTGCCTCTGACAGAAATTCACATTTGTTTCTTACTGTCACAGTTCCTGTCTTTATTACTCATGTTCTCTCCCAGAAATTTTCAAATAAATTGTATCAGCTTGTCGGAGTCGAATCCCAATCTCTCTTAATCTCCCATCACTGTGCACCTAGCAGCCTGCACACACCTGGACTGCTAACCATGACTGTGGCCTTCTGACACCCCAGGCAGGCTCTTCATCCTCTAGACAGGCCAATCCTCACAGTTTATAGGACAATGGAGAAGAGTACAGTGGCAACAAAGAGAAGGAAGTTCTCTTCTATTCACTTCACCCACACCTACCCTCACTTCTAAGAAGGAAAGATGAATCTGTTTAATCTCAGGCTCTATGACAGTTTTTGAGGTACTCAATCAATTTTTTTTAGAACCTATCACAGTCTCTTGACAGACTGACATTTATGCTCCCAACAGCCCGTGCAAACATCAGTAACAGCAATAATTAATGAACCCTCACATGTCACTGCTGTCTCGCCTTTGACCATTTAAAAGGACCTTAAGTTGCTAGAACCTCTCTGTCCATGAACAGCATCACATTCTACTGATAAAACTAGGAGGCTTTAAAAAAAAGTCT